TTACCTCTTCGGGATACCACGATTCAAGAAATCCAGAGACATACAGAAACAGACCCAGACCTACAAGCCTTAGCAACAATTATCAAAGATGGCTGGCCTGATACTAAAGGTATGATAAAGCCACAACTACAATGCTACTACTCTTTCAGAGAAGAGTTAACTCTTTACAATGGCGTAGTATTCAAAGGTGAACGTATCGTGATACCGGCAGCACTACGCAACACAATGATCTCCAAACTTCACGCTAGTCACCTTGGAATTCAAGGATCACTAAGAAGAGCACGTGAAGCTTTCTACTGGCCTAATATGAATGAGCAGATCACTGAGTTTATGTCCAAATGTGATGTATGTAACAGTTACAAGACACAGCAAAGAAAGGAACCAATGGTAAGCCACAACAGACCCACTAGAGCATGGGAAAGTATTGCTTCCGACCTCTTTGTATTCCATGGTAAGGATTACCTAGTAACAACTGATAGATATTCCAACTTCTTTGAAGTGGATAGACTGTATTCAAAGACAAGCACAGAAGTGATAACCAAACTGAAAGCACATATCGCAAGATATGGTATTCCCAACGAGCTCATGACAGACAACGGTCCAAACTTCACGAGCAGAGAATTCAAACAATTTACTGATATCTACAACATCGAGCATGTCACAAGCTCACCAACATATGCCCAATCCAATGGCAAAGCTGAGAATAGTGTGAAAACAGCCAAGAATATCATGCAGAAAGCACTAGATGCCCAGGCTGATCCATACTTGGCATTGTTAGATTTCAGGAATACACCGACAGAAGGTTATTCAACCTCACCAGCACAGAGAATGTTAAACCGACGAACACGAACACTGTTGCCAATCTCAAACAAGTTGCTGCAACCAGAGATACCCACAGGAGTACAACAGTCACTGAAAGTCAATCAAGCCAAACAGGCATTCTACTATGACAAAACTGCGAAAGAACTGAAACCTCTTAAAGAAGGTGATGTTGTAAGAGTAAAACCCAAAGAGTCAGATAAGAAATTTGTCAAAGCAAAGGTTGAGAAACAAGTGGATATCAGATCGTATCAGATCAAGACGGAGGACGGACGAGTATTCCGACGTAATAGAAAGGATCTCCACAAGACCCCAGAGAACTACAACCCCAGTATTCTACCAGATTTGCCTCGAAATCAGCAACCTCAACCAAAAGTTATATCTACGAAAGCAGTCCCAGTATCTGCTGACAGAAACAAGCAACAAGCCCCAATGATTACTCCTACAGCCACTGAGGAATCCATCAAGACGAGAAGTGGTCGAGTTGTTCGCAAGCCTACATACCTAAGTGACTTTGTTACACAATGACTTTTTGATAGTAACCTTTGTGTATTGTTATTGTTGTTTATAGTTTTCATATTTGTAAAAAAAGGGGGATGTAACGGTATTTACAGTATCGGGATACCTGTGTAGTRGGAGAGTTCACCATTGDTTGTATGTGTTAGTCCGATTGTGATATTAAAGGACAAGTTAGCACAACAACACAGTGTCTAATAACGACAGTCTAACGTAACAGTTGTTATTATGGATGCTGAAAATTGCAAAATGACTATCCTCTTATTTTTTGTGCTTTTTAAAATAATTTTCGCCCAATTTTCGCCCTGATGCTCACTGACCTCACTCAGATGTGATCATGGTATGGCTATAAAACAATAGTTTAACAAAAGATTGTGCACTGTGAGTCACGCTTGGAAAAATAGTGAACAAAAGCCTACAACAAAAGGCCACCTTAACAATTTCCCTCTACAAACTATGGACAGAATAGCTCCTTAGCGGAAACGTATTAATGCTGCCCATTTGCGACGACGCTGATCGTTTATCGAACGAAGAAGGGAACATCAGCTAAATAATATTTACGTAGCAAATTTAACTTACCTGGTCATTTCATGAATATCCTGCAAACATCTATAACACCTGTCACAAAAAGGCGCCATTTTGATTAAAAAATATACATGTGGGAGGGGAGGGTGCTATAGGAAAACACTGTCAATAACAATGAACTAGGGAGGGTAGCAGCTAGACAAAACTGATGCATTGTTGTCTTAAATTTCAGAAATCCTGGCCATAAATACCATAATTTCTTTGTAGCAACAAATACACAGGAATACCAAATCAAAGTGCCGGAATTGAAAAAAAAATCCAATATGATCGTTTTTGTCGTGTTTTAGGATTATCTAATGTTTACAGACATTTATATTATTAATTTACATCCAATTTAATTCTCCTTTCCGAAATTAATTAGTATATTCACCGAGATTGGCCGTTTTCCGTCCAATAATTACATTTTCTAGCTAGATTGAAAGTTTTCATTGCAATGTCCAAAATCCTTTCTTATCATGGTGGACATCATGAAACCACTTTTCAACTGAATTTTTGTTTTGATGGTTCAAAGATTAATAATAGCGATTCTTAAAATTATTGCTTTTTTTTCAGAGCAGTTTATTGATTACATAGTTAACATTAAAGCGTTTTGGTAAGAAAGCATACTTTTATTTTTTTTTACACTAGCATATTATATTGCTAACACAGTTCGCCCATTTTCATTGCAGATGTTCGACAGTTATATCAAGTTTATACTACAACAGTTATTTCCACAGTATTCAGCTATGGCGTTAGAAAATGTCTTTTGTTGCTATCAAGGTACTAAATATTGAGTATCATAAAGTAACATAAAAGACTCATTGAAATTATAACAAACGCATAGAAATAATAACAAACAGAAAGCATAGATATATTGTACAAATGAATAAATAAGCCAGCTCTGTCATACCAATGTTGCGACATAGTAATAATACAACTTCTAGAGTTCATGGCATCTTTTACGTCACTTACAATTTCTCTAATTCTTCGGCAGATGTGAGCATTTTTTCATACCTGTCAAATCCTCATTGCTATCTAAAGTCAGGTAAGGTTCTKAAATCAAATGAATAGTCACTGACGGAAGAGCACAAAAGCCAATGTTCAGGGATTGCTACATTTTGTAAAGGAAAGCAGACTGCAAATTGTAGAAAACACCCATGCTTATGTCCACTAAAACATTTCTCTTATAAGATGTTTTTGATTTATCTTTGCAATTGTAAATCAAAAGTTTATTGTTTCAGGAAAAGATCGATAAAAAGAATCTTTTTAACACTATAAAGCGCATCAAACTTAATATTGATTTTATCATTCTTAGGTCCATGCTCTGTCGTTTACACCATTGACAGTGCGTACCATGTTGGATTGATACTGTCTTTACCTTCATCGATTTGCGCTTCGTCACAGTAAGGCAATTTATTTGGGTATTTTCGGCATTTATTGAGTGTGTAAAATGTACATTCTGTGTTCCTTTCAGGTCTCAATAGCACAGAAACTTCAATAGCGCTTTTCAGTACTACCTCAGCGTCAAGCCTATCGCGCGACAACTCGTTACGGTAGGTTAGGGTTACACCCATTCCAGCTACTGAAGGACGAGA